TGCTTGTTTGATTCTAAATGGGAAATGAAAATAAGAAAGGACAGGAAGAAAGGACAGGACTAGGAGATATGATAATATAAAAGTATTTTGCGCAAATACGAACAATACATAATATAAATTAAGGACAAATAATGATATGTTCAAAATAACTTTCGAGTTACCTTCACTTGGAATTACAAGTCTTATTGGAAGAGATAAAGGAGTAATCGTATGTTGAAAAATAAGCGCTGATAAACTCCCTGAAAGCAATCAATGAATCAGTCAAGCAATCAATCTTCAAAGTAATTAAAAGAGTCCAAAAATAATTCAAAGAAAAATTGAAAGCTGTATTCTTCCTAATCATGGTTTAACATTAGAGTTATAACCCTCAATATTTTGCGTTAGCAGCTGAGCTTTGGAAAAAATACCAGCATAGGCATATCATAATACATGCAATAGATGCAGACTATCTGATACAATACTCACCAAATACCGGTTCATTACTGATGCCTCGTAGTTTGACACCTTTCTTGGTAGATTCGATTAAGAAATGTCGAATAAGTTCACTGGGAAGGTCGATCTTTGCTAGAAAACATAGAGTGCGGTATCTAAACTTCTTGCATTCCTCACAACTATTCTAAGGTTACTAAAGTAAACTGCCAGCAGCTTGAAAATAGCCTCCGTGGCAGACGTTCCAAGCGGTTCGATTCTCTCCCGCAGAGAGAATCGAACCGCTTGGAACGTCTGCTATACGGAGGCTAACTTGAAAATACGTCATTGCGTCGTGTTTCTTGAGCGATATACCATATAAACCAAGTTTTGCTGCAAATGAGTTTTGTGGATAAAATTGATACTATATGCAGTGAACCAGCTGAAAAACATTACCATAACTGTTTTTTATTTTGGAAATCGAAAACCTTTTTAACATTGACAAAATGAGGGTGAAGAAAACGAAAGACAGGGAAGTAGCTAGCATGCGAAGCTCAAGAGGCTTAGAGCCAAGGCCACGACAACATCAGATAACGTGAACAGTCTGTTGGCGGACATAAAGTCACGAATTTTCTACATTTTATTTATCTGTTAAACTTTATACGGCCCCTTTAGTTAGTTACGTTGGTGGTAGCATTAGCAATATATCTACATTCTTTTTGAGTGATATCACATTTTCATTTTTTTTTCTAACAAAAATTAATAATAACTTACTGAGGTCTCCATGTAATACATGAGCAGGAGGAACAGCAACCCGTACAGCAAGACCATAAGCACCAGGAAACGACTGACTATCACGAACCACGAAATAGCCTGGCTCTTTATCTTTAAGTATGCTAATCGCTGAGAAAATAAGGATATTACTCGTTAAATATCTCCGCTTACATGTGACGCTCAAACAGCTTGCTTTGCCCCCCTCCCCCTATGAGTAGTAAGTACTTTATCTCACCTTGTTCCCGCGATATATTTGGTTTATACCAATACTGTGACGTATCTTTATCAAACTTGACGCCAGGCATCGGTTGAGGACTTTCAAGAAACACATCTACAAATATAAATAAGCAATGGATCGTACTTGTCTTCAATGAAGGTCAAAAAACAAGGACCCCAGGAAATCCTGGGAATACTAGAAGGAATCAGCTTACAATCGAAAATGACACATGATTCCCAGTCCAGGAACCGAGATGGGACTTACGTGGCACTTCATATATAAAACAAAAATTGTCACCCAAAGTAAAAATCAATATATTATACTGTTCTCACCATCAGCGATGTTTCATTTACACATTGCTTACTGTCGGGTGTTTATTAATTCGATTTAAATTAAGTTGTATGTACCATTAGAAGAAGATTCCGATGACAAGCTATTTGTAGATCCATAGCCTTTATCTGAGTGGTAGGGTGAACGCTTCTTTCTAGGAGAGTTATCAAACGGTCCTGATACAGACGATGAAGGTGTTTGAGGGGWTGGTGGTCGGCCACCATTTTCTTCYTCTTGTTCTTTCGACATAGCAAGACTAAGATAAATATATAGAATGTAATTAAAACTAATCCCTAACGGTAATTGATTGTTGAACGCTCTTCATCAGACAGGAATTAAAACTCAYTGTCAKCATTATCATCATGRCCAGAAATTCCGGGCATTTGAGCCCGGGACGAGTAAGCGGGTTTTCCCACTAAAATAGAGCTTCCTTTGACAAGGTTTGAACTTTTGAAGATCAAATTTTCTACTCTTGTGCATGCAACGATCCTTTATCTTAATACAATACTGGGTTAAAATCGAAACGTTGAAAACATCGAAAAACGAGTATTGGGATAGCACGCCCTGATCCTTGAGTTCATTAGTGGCTTGTGAGGTGCTTGKTTGGAATGTTMATAGTGTAAATAATATTATTTGCTGAACTCACGTTTGCCTCAGGTATTTTAAACAATKATCATCAGTTGATATTGTGATCTTCAGTTTATACTTGTTCATTTCTAAGGAATTTAAAAGGTCTGACATTGTTTACACTAAATAGCGTAGACTTGATTGGTCTTTCTTTCGTTCGTATTTCCCTCTATTTACCAGTGCGCGCAAGGCGCCAGTAAAAACCGCCAAAATTAAAGCAGTTCCAGTCTGAAAGCCACGTTTCTAAGGTTTATTTTGGTACCAAACATGGCGAATAAAATGGAAAGAAAATGGAAGATCGAGGCCAATTATTCGCGTGAAACACGAGTCGTCGCCAGCCATTTCACCGTCAAGTTAGTGTTTTCAAATTGTACGATTTCTAGTACCAAAAAGGACGCTGTTGATCGTCTTCAAAATAGCTGAAAATCGCTGTGTTTCTAGCTCAATGTGTGGACTTTGAGAAATGATCTTTGAAAAATCAAGAATAGTTTCCCTCTAGGAWTTCATCTTGGAAAACGTTCCAGGTAAAACGGATCAAATTTTATTCTCAAATAGTTTTTTTGATCCGTATATTTCTTTGTAAAATTTAACAAACATGTTTTTGTGCTTTATGCGAAGTACCGCTGCTATTGCGGGCTCTTATGTCCGGATTTTCTGGCCATGCATCTGTCATCATCATCACCATTCATCGTCTTCGTCATCGTCTTCGTTATATCACTAAATATATTATATATATAATAATATAATACTTTATATACGTACTTAATGTCAGCTATATCAGAAAGAATGCCATCAATCGCATGGTTTTCATGCGAACTTTGTCCTGGTTCTGACGACAGTACTGCTACCATCGACGGTTGCGTGTGAATATCTTTGGAAATTATAATAGGGCTGAAAGAAAAGCCAAGTATTAGGCAAATCTGTTATAACAGCACACGTTATAAACAAGTTGACAGCTTGCTAGGCCGGTCGCTCTTGTGGTCATTATATTTGAGAACTGTTTATGTGATTCACATGGAACWTTTTTTTATATATTTCAGTCCTWTTAAAAACACAGCTTGCATGGTTAATTTCATTTGCACAAGAATGTTCGACCTTATAATGTAGCCTATTTTAGCGTCCCTACAACCATGAGCACACTTTAGCAGGACCAGCATTAAACAGACGGTTCAGATGCTCTCATCTCTGGACATCCAAGAAATAAGCACATGGAGAGYTCAACGYAAATCCGGCACGACAATACATGAGCCATSACGGATGRACCAAWATYAGAAGCCTGGATGAGTGATAGTCCAGTTACAAGTTGAGATACAAGACTYTAATGACCATTTCTGTATCGRAGATATGACTAAAAAGACCTGCAGGCTGTACGCAGGTCAGTCATCAACCAGGTAAAAGTCATGCACTGCGTGAATTGTGGTTAGAATTTTATTCAACGTACTTTTTTATTGCTGTTGTTGTGTTTTTTCCTGGGGACACAAAATAGCCCGTCAACCGGGCCAGCTCATTTCATATAATCAAACCGTGAACATGCGCATTTACCTTGGTTTTGTTTGTTCAAATTTCGAGAAATGCTGTGTTGTTTGTATATCATCCAATTCAGCATAACCATCCTCGTCTACTCGTGTATTTGGTTTGTTTTCAAGTTCGGTTGGTATTGTAAAGGTWATTGGTTGTCCAATATTAAACTCTTGAGGCCCRCTGCTGACACTGTGAGAACGAAATGAAAATACAGCTATTTCAAAAAACGTTGTCGGGGAGAACGGTGAACGGCGATTGTCGAAGGGAGATTGCACGACCGAAAGGGACTATGGTTACACTGTTTTGATATACAGAATTTCACTTGGATTCACCTTGCAGAGAAATGGTGAATAAATGGGGCCAATGTTTACCACAGACCACCTTACAGTACAAATCAGTTGTTATTGCCTTTCAACTAGAAAAACCCATGGTTACTTTCGGTCGTGCAATCGCCGTTCGACCATTGACAATCGCCATTTTACCCGACAACCTTTTTTGAAATAGCTATATGTCAAAAAGAGATATATCGATGACACAACTGAGACCGTAAAATAGTTCGGTCGTGTTGGGGTCAATTTCGAACGAGTCGAAGCGATACAGCTACGACTTATCGACTCGTCGGAAGACTAAAATACGGCGACGATACGAATTCTGAATACGACCACGAGTCCTGGAGATGATAGAAAGGAGGCCAGGACTGAACTACACTACGATGCTAACGACAACGATATATCTACAATACGAATATGATATCTATTTCCAAACATAGCGTCAGCATTTCTAATCTTAGATCTTAGATCCAGTTTAAAAATCGAACTTTCCACACAAATCCCGGCCATTCTCAAAACAGTGTTACTCTTAATTATAAAGTTCGACGTTTAAACAGTTGGCAATAATATAGTGAAACAACATACAAAACTTGAGGGCTTTCAGTTAAAAAGCCTTGAYTGTCTGTGTGTAGTTTATAATCGATGCCTTCGTCATAGCATTCTTTCTCGAGATTCTCTGCAGTTGATGGCAGTGTTTGTTCACCTAYAACGATATAACAATGAACAACAACAATCTTTGTTAGTTTACAAAACATGCCGAATTAATTTCCTAGAAATTGAACCTAGTAAACAACAGATATAGAATTTCAAGAATACAATTGAGAATAGATGAATGCAATCTAGTTTAACCGGATATGACCACAATCAATTCTCGAATGCGACGTTGCCCGCCGTATGTTTAATGCAAGCAACCAGACGCAAATCTCACATGCACCGAGTTCAACACAAATAACTCTAATCTTTTGTTTCTGTTCATTTACAATGAATTAAGCACATGTGAAATATGACGTGAGAAATGAGAGCAATAAAAATAATCTTGGGGGTAAACAATAGGCGATATATATTATGGCGTAATTTACTACAACTACCAGAATGCTTTTCCAACTTTCTTTTGTAATGCAATTAGTGCCAATTGTTTTATTAATCTCCAAGGGTAAAAAAATCTGAATAACAATGAAAATGCGCAAGGTTCTCTGGTAGTTGTAGTAAAGTTACGTCATAATGCAAACGGCCTATTGTAATCCTGGTTGCAAGCCAAAACAATGTAATTTATGAAAATACACAAGCATTCTGCTTCTTAGGAACTCCGTGTATTAAGATGGTGGCCATATCCAAGACCTATTACCATGCAACAATTTTACCACTGCATGTGTAGTAAAACGTAATGATGGACTACACTAAACTAACACAAATAAAGTGGAAGAGAAGAGTATACAAAGAACGATTGAGGAACCTGGAAGACTATCTTAATGAAATGTTAGACAACAATTACCCTTATCATTACCATTATTATCATACCCACCCATCGCCATCATCAATTTTTTTATTATCATTGTATGCAATAAACACCACTGATTCCAAAAAACACCCTTACTATTCATTACTGGAGTTAACGTACAAGGAGATATGACAACCCGTTACTGATCTATAAGGATTACGCAAGCTTACGTATTACACATAAACGTCCTGTTACGTTATCGCACTTGCCAGAAAGGGTGAATTAAGTGAGTTAGATGACTGGATGAAGCAAGGAACGCAGCTCGATGTGGTTAGGTTGAATCAATAATGCATTCCTTACAATGGATGGGATACCTTCATCTGCAGAGACGYCAGATTTATCCCTAGCTGCCTTGAGTTTTTCAGCTAATTCAGCATCCATTGATTTGGCAGGCATATCCTTCGGGCCAGGGTGTAGCTCAGAGATCTTTTGTGGGGCCCCTCCACGATATAATGTATTTCCGCAGTGGCTTAATTCACCAACAGCCAATGACTTGGCATTATATTTAGAAATCTCGTCCGAAATATCATTTGGTGACTTTCCAACCAGGCCTGGCATAGGAACCGTGCCTTTGTAAGGCATGCGTTCCTCAGGCATCTGAGCAGGGAAAACTATTTCTTTTAAGATGGCAACTTTAGCTGCAACGTTTCCTTTCTTTGGAAATTCATCCTCCTCATTTCTATATTCATTGTTTTCGACATCACCATTTTGTTCTGGAAAGTTATTGTTTATATCACCCTCCCCTCCCTTACCGTTAATTCTATTCTCCATGACGACATCATTGTCATGGTAACCATTCACTCCAAGTCTGACATCCATCCTGGGTTCTCCACCGTTCTCCACCACTATCCCTGGTGCGCGTCCAACAGTAGTYTTACTAGGAACAACCACTTGGGTTGCATAAAACTTTGGCGATAATGGCCGTGTGTGTGTCTGTAAAGCAGGTGCTTTTTGYAAGCCTTGCGGTCTTGGTGTACTTGTGTAGTTTGGACTTGGAAATGGGCTTCCTATGCTATTATTACTGCGATTTTCATTTGAAATGGTGCGTGCCACCTTTGCAGGCACTCCGTGACGCTCTTCAAGGTAGCGTTCAGTWGCACCATAACTCGCTGCTCTTCGTAAAGGCGTTGGTGGATAAACCGGTTTAGAACCTGCTTGACTAGGACTTGTTGGTTTAAAACCCACTTGGTCCTGTTCAGGAATCTGTCGAATYGGAGCAGACGATAACTCTCGAAATGTCAAATTTGGAGCGGTTCTTTCAGATGCTTTCCTGTTCTGTTGTATTGTACTATCTAAGAGATCGGAGCATTCACCAAGCTCCTTAAGTAGTTTATCTATAGAATGAATGTTCCCACCAAGATCAGCTTCCATAGTTATATCCCCGTCCGACAAAACTTTGTTTGAATTACGACTGAATTGATATCTGTTCAAGGTGGCGGTTCCCTGGGGCATCAGCGGTCCAGTTTTATAGCTTTGCAAGACAGGATTATCCAGTACACCAGCATCACGTGATCCACGCGTTTGAATACCGCTGTCCAAGCTATAGGAACGGATTTGTTTCTTTAGATTCTTGTCAACTTGTGCATACAGACTTCCATCCAGTGGTCCTGGTATGTAAGATGGACCTACGAATGTAAAGAAAACGCTTGTAAAACGATTTGTGACTATCTTTGATAACACATGTCGGCGATAAGTGGAAGGTTGATAATTTAGACATCTGTTTTAAGAACCTTTGAGAGAACGTCACATCCGGGATTTTAGAAACTGACTCCCGTGACGCAGTTTATGACGTATACTCAAACAACCTCCGCGTCGGGCTCACGCATGTAAAGAATTAAAAAAAATACAGTGGTATTTAAAACACTTTTGAATGCAGCCCCTATGATTCCTCTTGACAGCTTAAATCAGAATATAAAAGTATCTGTCAATACAAGAGTCGCTAATAAAAGAACGGTTTTTAACAGACGGCAATCGAGCTTATGCTCTAATATGAACACATAGCTTGCATACAGACGAGAACATTGTACTTTACGCCAGGAAACGATCGACATAGTTTAGTGGGTTGGATTATAACCTAAGTGACCCTTAACTGACAGRTACAATCATCTGTTTAAACTGCTGAGCAAATATTTATATACGGGATATTTTTCAATAGTGTTTCTTCTCGATGAACGTGGGTTTTTAGGGTAAGTTATAAAATACGATGTCTCTCGGTCATTTTGAAGGCATCATATCTCCTGGTAAACAAGACGTTCAAAAAAGAAGGAAAAATATTGTAGCGTGAGGGCTAAATAAACTGGTGAGTTTTCTCGTAAGCCATCAGCATTTGTGTTATACAATAACAGCTATAAGGAAAGGAAAAATACATRAAGGTCWAAATATTACATATAAGCCARAAAATAAAAGGTTACATTTCAATGYATATTTAAAGAAAGGGTAAAAAATCGTAAAAAATTACACGTTGATAGCGGTTGACGTTATTGATAAATTGTATACTATGAGTTTATGTTTACTCGCATATATCTTGTATCATATAGTGATGGAATGTTTAGTCTAATACAATGATATCTAAATTGCTACAWCTACATGAATTTCAAGACTTGAAGGTGATATATGTTATCTACTGACAATAGATCTAAAATGTTCGATAACGGTTTGGAGCTTTTTGTTTCTTTTCCATATGGTGTGGCCAAGAAGATCAAACTGGCTACGAGATTTGTTTAATTTGTATTATTTGAAGATGCGTTTTACTGGCCCAAACTATGATTGCATAAGATATATAATGATGAAATAAACTTGTTTAATTGTCTGATAGACGGATAATGTCTCATTTTACATATGATTCCAGTGTTTCGTGAAATACGTGCACAAATGCACATGATATGATATTTCCAGGTCATGGAATCAATAATTTTGACGATATTTTAATGGTTTTTCCTTTCAAGCGAGAGACATCATCCGTCTGAACAATTATCTTTTAASTCTACAAAGAAGTCTTTTTCCCCTAGCTTATTTAACTATCATAAAATTGGTTTTTGAAATATTTATTAGAGCTTATTTGTGTCGCACCATTTCCTGMTCAGTYTCTCTGGTTCAGAGYTTTATCCGAGGACTTAAGATCAATTCAKGAGGTAAAAAAAAAWTGTGTCGTCAGCAAACATTTTGAGACTTAATTTCTTGTAGCATCGGTGAAGCGACATAATGTCATCAAAACACGTTAGGAAATTCCCCAAACTTAAAATAGCCCATAAAATAGTTTTTGACCTGTGTTTTCGCTACAGAAACGTTATAGCTATTGGTGAGATTCTTGCCAAGAAAAGGCATAACAAGCTTGGAGGACTATTTCAGCTCGCAAAATAAAATGCGATAGCTACATCTTCCATCATGCTTTGCTGTTCAAAATGGCGTCGCTGCACATTGTCTATTATATGCACTTCAAAGCCACTCAGTGAAAGCAATGGAAAGAAAAGCTACTAATTGACAGTCTCATGGAAAACGATAACACTAGATCAACACATAATTGAATCATTGCCTATGGCGGATGACACTTCTTCAAACTAAAACTACAAACGGAAGAAAAGRTTCCCACACACATCCTGTGATCTTGTGTTTTATGATTTCTTTGTCGTCTGTAATGGCTTCTTTATTGTACTCAAAACTATATTGTGAAAGATGGGGACTTTYTGTTCTTAAGTAAAACTGACGTTTATGACAGACGTCGACACCGTAACATTTGTTTATGTCAAAGATATGAGTACTTTTGGTATAATAGTTGCGTTACTGAAGTTAATAAGTAAAAAAATTGCGGAAAGAAACCACAGGCATTGTAATATAAACATTCAGATGTTAGCTTACATSGAATTCTATAAATATCTAAAGTCTTTTTAGAATGTGAGCTCACACACATGCTGTTCTTGCAGCGCTGTCCAACAGAGCAAAAAGGTCACGCGACCCAAGTGTCAGATCCCGCTATAATAACAGAGTACAAATGTCTGTAAAAACACCCTTTTTAGTTAAATSAGCACGATTTACATTGTATAGATTGCTTCAATCTTGTTTTGCTGACAATTMTTTACCGGAAAATATCGAAGGAAGACTAGCAAAGAGGGCACAAATTGTTCATTTTTAACATGTCACTKGAGCTAACAAGGTGATTGTTTACTGAAACACACAGGACYAAAAATGAGTTAAACAGSTTTAACATCATAATTTCAAAGTTTGATCASTTTGAGTGGATATCTGTTGTCACAGCAAATACTGACTAAGTGGAACATCAAACTACAATTATGTATCTATTATCTATTGTGCTAAAATAAATAAAAACAGTGAAAGTAAGAAAAACGTTAAATTAAACGCGCAAAAGTACAAAAAAGTACACTTTGAGGTGTCAATGAGGATAAAATGGAAAAATAATGTAGCCACAGGTATCGCTAAACTGTCTTGAACTCACCAGAGTATTTACGAGTGAGTCCACCAAAACCGCGACCGCTTTCCTCTGAAGTTTGTCTCGCGTTAAGTGATTCTGAAACAAAAGGAAAAAAAATGCTAAGATTAAGATTAAAAAGTAAAGATGTCTACAATATGGCAATGGAGATTCAATTCATTACGCTTGGTAACGTACGTATGGAAGTAAAACTRTCTTTGAGAGCGGATTTCGGTGTAGTTCTATAAGCCATCTCAGCCATCTTGTGTCCTTTTTGTGGCGTTTTCCTTTACAGACATTAAATGACACCGCTTACCACACAACAACAAAACAATCATACAGCGGTGTAATTTCCGAACAAGAAATGTTCAAAGCAGAAGTAACAAGCGTTGTTCGACATTCAGAATTGTAAACATAAGCGTCATATTTTCAACATACGCCAAGAGCGAATCGATGAGGAATGCGAAGCGCGTAGCTTAAGTGATGAGTCACAGTTGTCCTTAACAGAGCGATAACAGACGACAACAGCAAAATAGGAACCCTGTCTTGCCTGTTGGCGAAAACACGCAGGCTACGTTACACACAACCAACTTATATCAAAAACGACATCACAGWAGACTTTGTTATTGCACTGCTAACTTGAAGGCACCGTAAAAATGATTAAAATTAGAAATAGACGCGAGTAAACGCTTGTAATCCCATGGACTGTGCGTCGCTCTGTATCTTTCATAGAAAGTGCGCTATTAGGTTACGTGTTATCTTAGAAGCWTTAGCTAGATTTACCCATTCATGTACAGAGCACGCGTCCCTCTGAAACTTCCCTAAAGGAGATTAAACATGTAAGATATCCCCAACTATGGCCATTGTGTACGCATTCGCAATGAGATGYGATCAATCGCAGTTTAAATGTACAAACGCTGCAGTGATCTGTCTGCAGTAGTGTTGACCTAATTGGAATATTTCACATCACACGAAATTATTATAGTGAAACATATATGCCTTACTAGTGACTCGACCAGGTATATCACTTTACATGCATTTAAAGATGAATTCATACCGCGATTGTCAGCGTAATTACATCGATGCAAAGGYGGAGAGGCGGCGGASAGAGGACCGRTAAAGTTAGCAACATCTCTGGAGCAACAAAATGAATGCCTCGTTTCTAGCGCCATGTTTTCCAGTGACTTTTAGACAAACATCAAATTGAAGTAATGTGGGTTGAATATTWATATTCATTCACATATGTATCCGCAACAAAGGCAATGTCAATCTAACTGTGACCTCGACCGTACCTTACAATATGAAGTCTCTACATAGGAGCTTTGATTCACTACTTTGATAAGAACCACTGATGCTATCACTACAGCAAAACAATCAATTTATCTCGTTGAGATTGCTGTCTGGWCTCGTCTCTTATAAATAAAAGTCTCATCGAGGTGTTTAGACTTCCAGTAAGGGTTGTTTAACGGGTGTATTAGCACACTGAGCCTTAGGCTTGATATTAGAAGAGTTCTCCAATAGGAATCATGTCGTAACTAAGTCAACAAAAGATTAATACTCATAAGACACTCAACACTCGATGAGATAGTGTCTTTAGTCGAATTACAATGAAGCAAAGGGCTTCTTCTGCGTAGACTAAGGTGCATTTTTTGCGCAAATTGCATACCTATCACTTCACAAACAATGTTACCATTGAAAWTATTAGGAATGTTGAAAAAAATGAAACAGTTGGTGAAATTAAACATTTGAGATKAAACTATAGAGAAAAGTTTCAAAGTCACTAAAGTATGCTAAAAATCGCATTATAAGAAACGAGGAACAATTTATTCTTAAACAACTTAATTAATTGATTAATTAAACATAAGTGATTAATTAAACAACTAATAATTGTTCAGYCAACCACAMGATCTCAAMAAMACCGCCGCCATCTTGAACTATGATGAAATTATGGGATGTCCGTAATTGTACGGAAAAAAGTTCTTTCTCTGATAATTATTCTATGCTTTCAAATTTGGTAAAAACTGAACATGACATCGAATCATGAAAAATCAAGATAGCGATAGAATCGGTTGTAGGGTTTTTAAAATTGGTCAATCAAGCAACTCCTTAATTAAATATGAATGGATTTTCTGATATGAAACGGCAAAATTCATCGTGGACCCGACTAAAATCATCGTTTTAGACATTTAAATATTATTGTGAAAAAGAAATTTAAGCCCAAAAGATTCAATCTATCGTGCAAAACAATTTCGCCATGCAGGCGAGCAATGTTACCATGAGTAACATCATTGTGTGGTATTAAATATAATAATAATAAAGTATAAATTCCGCGATAAATTCCAGTTGTTATAGTTTCTATCAACCAGTCAATGATCACGAGCTCTGGTCATTTGTACAGACAGTTTTACACGTGCAAAAATAATCTTGTTCATACGTGGGTGGTAATCAGACAAGTAGCCAGCGGCCTTTTCACCTATGTTGGTATATATTGCTATTTGTGCGATTTCTCATGCAACTCGTCGGTGTTAGATTTTTATTCCGGGATCATTTTGAGCCTGACAATGTTTTTATACAACGACGTAATCTTCGAGAACAATGCATTATGTGTTAAACTGAGACTTCTTTTTTCAATTCACAAAACACAATCCTTATAGTCTGTTTTGGTGCTTTCTTTGCGGAAAAGGCTCAACTAATTGTATTTTTTATCTCATTTTAAAAAGAACTACTTTAAGTGAGTCAACAAATCGGTGTTATTAGAAGGATTTTTACAAGTTTTAACATCAGTTAGTGATACAAAAGACAAACTGCACAGCGAATTATTAACCGGAACCGGCCCCTGAGCATGGCAATAGGCGATGGTCTCCTCCGTAGCTCACTGCACCATCTTGGAAAATAGCCGCGTGCAAGACTGGCAAGCCGTGTAAGCTTGCAATGATAGATACCTGTAAATTCTTGTCCATAGTTGTAAAAGAAGGTGAGCATATCATTGTAAGCTCAGCGSTTATCGCTATTCAGTGTAAAGGCACGGGAACCTTTCAAGATGGCGCGAGGAACTCATGAAAGAGCGACCGCTGTTTTAGTTGACAACATGCAGTCTCTCTTGTACAAATATCTAAGTACTGCGAATCCTTACTATAAATGGACCTTTGTTCAAATMAAACTCATTGGCGCACGCGTTTATAATTACGATTATCAATATCATTCAGAACATGAAAAGTGATATTGACTTCATACCACTGACAAAAAAATCATTCAAATCGGAAACCTTGTGGTTAGAACATTACACGGTAAAACAAACCCCACACTTGTRTTATCAAAACCACAAAAATGAATTTAATTAAACTACAAATACAAGATTAGAACTAACAAAACCTCATATCACAAACCAAGATCACAAAACATAATTTAAGCTGATATTCTCCAAAACTAGGCGTCTACTATAATCACATCACATTTGCGATATCTGTGTATGTTAATGAGCCACCATCTGCTACAAGGTGTGACGGTCTATAGGTATTTTATATGAGGGCGAGGTTCAACAATCTATGCAATTAATTAAGCTGTAATTCTTCTAAAACCCCAACAAACTATTTCTCTAATTTTAGGAATGATATGACCTGGAGTCGACTTTGATCAAAGTCGTCAAGAAGGATGAGGTTATCTGTATGTAAAATTACACTATTTTGAGTAACTCTATCGGACAAGCTATTGTCGGAGAACTAAAAAAATCAAGCCCCTTTCGTGCGTAAAAGCATTCATCAGTTATAATGACGTACAGATTAGGCTGAAAAGGCCTTGGGCGGGGAATGGCTATACTATGGATGGTTAAGTTGGGGTTTGGTTGTCCAGTGGGTGTGACCTGTTCAGACTTAAAAGGCGGAGCACTAAGTACAAAGCCATGTCTAGGAAATGACATCATTGTTAATTKGACACAATTTACATCAAATGAACTTCACTTAACATGCTCATCAAATGGTGAGCTTTGGATGCCTGCTGAAATGGAATGCCTATCCATAACCGCATCGAAACCAAACTACATTGACTGACGCCAAGAATATCTTTACAATATAGAATACCCGGGAAATGTAAAAATGTAAATATTTTTTTATTGCTATATAGACTAAATAAAGACTAGATAAACATTTCTTTTGAAAACAAAACAACTTGGGATTAACATCTTTTTAAACAAAATGACAGAAAGCCAATCCGGATAATCTTATTTTTATAACAAATTTTAAACCCTTACATATATCAGGAATGTTTTTACAGCTCAGCACTCAGTATGATCGCCATTTTGACAATTATTTTGTCGAATTCGGGTTCTGAATTGAAACCATTTAATAATCATTAGCATTTCAATATAACCACAAATTGACTGTGGTCTCGGAATCTACAAGTGTGTTATCATAAAATGAAGAAAAAATCTTTTAAAAAATCATCGAAAATTATATATATCGTAAACATCACTTCAAACATCTTGTTTTTCGACCAAGCCCTCGAACGGTAGAGTGTCCAATCAGAATGCAGAATAACTGAAAGCTACTGCATGCTTTCGTCCTAGAGTGCAAACGTGAAAAAGTACTAACCAAATAATTCTAAATAGCGCAATAAAGTGTAGATTAGASAATAGAAAACAAAGGAATWCGYATAAATCAGTAAAATATCAAGCACTATTTAATTACTAAAGTTAGTCATGGTTTTAGTGTTTGCACTCTAGTATACAAGGTTAGTTATGTTTAATAGCCTTGATTGTTATCATTCATATCACTGACAGTCTCTAAGAGGTATAGCATAATATAGTCAATCCTATTAACGTTGTTCTGTTGTAAAGACTTTTAAAGACGTAAAGATAACAAAATCATTTGCATATATCATATTTGTATTTTATGCAAGCTCAACCTCAAGTTCCAAAACTTACCGACAATATTAATACCATTTAACTTGCAAGCATGGTCCGGAGTTGTGAAAATCCTTTGCTGGCATGAGAAAACCTTTTACTATGCAAATAACTTTGCTGTTTATGTCTGTACAAGTGATCAACCTTAATGGGAATGACTATACATAATAGACACTGATATAGCAACGTTTCGATGTTGTCC